TCCCAGAAAAGAGCACGAGCAAGCTATAAAATGGATTCTTAGATACTTGAAGGGAACTTCACGTGTTAACTTGGTATTTGGTGGAGATAGTGGCAAGGATAGTGTTGCTACGGGATATGTTCATTTAGATTTTACGAGTGATTTGGATAAGTGCACATGTTATGTTTTTACTCTTTTTGGGGATTCTATGTGATAGAGGTTAATGTTACAACCTACTATTGCATTGTCTACTATAGACACGAAGTTCATGGCAGCTATAGAAGCAGTGAAGGAAACAATATAGTTGAGAGATTTTCTTGATGAATTGGGAGTTGAGGAGAAAATTACTCTTGTTCATAATGATAGCCAAAGTGCAATTCACTTGGCTAAGCATTCAGTCTTCAATTCAAAATTGAAGCATATTGAGGTTCAATATCACTTTATTAGAGATATTTTTGAGGAAGATAAAGTAGTCTTGAAGAAGATTGCGACCAAGAATAATCTGGCAGATATGTTGACGAAGCCATTACCGGTAGCAAGGTTTAAGCTTTGCTTGGACTTGCTTCATGTCAAAGAATGTTAAGGCACCGTGAGGCCCATTTTCAAAGGCGTTGGCAGTGCACTATTGAAAAAGTTGAGAACTCATTCGAGTTGTTGAGTCAAGGTGGATATTTATTGAAATTGTGCTTCAAAACTCTCTGATTGTTTAATTCAGTCAATAGATCATCAATGATCAAGTGAACACCATCGATAGTCACTTTACTCATTGATGGTTTAAATTGAACAATCTGAGAAAAATAGAAATAAGATTTTGAATCATCAATGAACTACATGAGATCATCGATGGTCATATTTGATCATCGATGGTTACGATGCTCATTATAGTTTTCGTGGTTTAATCTTAGCTGTTTATTTTTTTATCTCCAACTTCTATCAAGTTTTGGATAACTCTTTCCTGGTCTATTGTGGTCTCCTATATACTAAAATGGAGAGAGTTTAGATTAGGATTGGATCATGAGAATAGGAGAGTTTGATAAGGAAAGTTTGAGGGTTTATGTTATTGCCTTGTTCTTTGTAGGCTATAAAAACTACCTTAACAACAAGAAGAACTAAAAAAAACTCGCCTGCATACTCGACTCGCCAGCACGAGTCAAGTTCGCTCAAATGCTGAGTTCGCCAGCATGAACGAAGCTCGCATGCATACTTGACTCGCCAACACGAGTCAAGTTCGCTCAAATGCTCAGTTCGCCAGCATGAACAAAACTCGCCAGAGCTAAATCCACTCAACGCTAAGTTATCTAGCACGAACGAAGCTCGCCTGCACGTCCAGAAAATTAGCAGCCCGCCTGCTAGTTCGCCAGCACGAACGAAACTTGCCTGCGTGTTCAGATAATCAGCAGTCTGCCTACAAGTTCGCTAAGCTCACCGTAATACTAGGTGGCTATGATGTCACGTATAGGGATGAGCCTTCTCATTTCCCACGACTTAAAAAGGGGGGAGTACAGTACTCCGTACCCTTCAAATAGCCGCCCACAACACTCAGCGCCGGTGCTCGCTTGCATACTTGACTCGCCTGCTTGAGTCAAGCGCTGAGCTCGCCTGCATGACTAGGCGATCAGCAAGGCACCTGCAAATTTTCCGAGCTCGTTAGAACACTCGGCGACGGTGCTGTCACATACAGGGATGAGCCTTCCCATTTTTCGCGATGTGAAGGGGTGGAGTACAACGCTCCGAGCCCCTCAAGCAGCCGCTCACAGTACAAGTGAGAGGCATAACATCTCTCAACAGTGTATGGTTACATCTCATGATTCAATGGAGTGACCATGTTGTCTCTTCCCTATTTAAGAACCACTCCTGACTACGTGAAAAGGCCGCTTCCTCATATGTTCGCTGAGGCTCGCTCTTTGGCTGATTAGCTCACTTCTTAGTTGGTTGGCGACCGCTCTTTGCATTGTCCTTGCACTGTAGTAGCTTCTTCCAGCTTTCGGCCTTGACAGCCATTAAGCTCGGGAACTCGAACTCGGTCGGCACGAGCTTCTACTATGTACTAAAGCTCGCCTGTAACTCTCGAACTCGGTCGGCACGAGCTTCTACTATGTACTAAAGCTCGCCTGTAACTCCATTGGAAGCAAACTCAGTTTTGACACTAAGTGAGGCGTCCTATCGCTACCAAAGACCCCACGTTAAATAAGGAGGGCATTTCCTCCGCTTCTGTTGTAACTTTGATTCATTAGTTTGTAATAAAGCTATTCTTATCAATACAAATAAGATCCTTATTTCGGGAAATCAATTTTACACCTACATTCTTGCGCTTCTTTCTCTTTAGATAGTGAAACTTCTCCGAAGTCTTTGCCATGCATGTAGCCCAAATTAGGTGAACTATGAAAATCTTTGTGTTGGTGATTGTTTGTTCTTTATTCTCGTGCTTGTTTTTTGTAATTATTTTCACTTTATTGTGCACTTGTTTTAACAAATACTTGCTAATTTTTCTTGCATCTTTCATGGAGAATACTTTTTTGATTAGGACAAAGCAGTTCAATATATTCTTTAAGGAGAACTCAGTTGGTGTTTCTTTGATAGAATTAACTTTTGTCAATGTCAATTCAAATGATTCATGAACGTTTCTGAATTTTGAGTTTATTTTCTTCACTTCTCCATTTGAAATGAAAACAACTTGATTTTTTTTGAAGGATATGTCCGAATTTTCTAATAGTTTCTTTATACATAACTTTTTGTTTTTTTACCCTATAAATATTATTAACATCAGGATTAATATTTATACATTATAATCAGTTAATGTGAAACTATTATATTATAGTCTTTTATCAGTTTTATGTAAATTAGCCTCTATCAATTAATGTCATTAGTAAAATTATATGCAGTTCTTTTAATTTATACAATGACATTAACTTTTAATCTATCATATATATTTTTAGATTTTTATTTTTTAATTGAATGTTTTTAATCTACTATTATTGCTATTTTTTACCAGCGTTAACTTAGACTACTTTTTGATGCAGAAAATGGATAAATCAGAAGTTAAATTTATATATCTTAATGAAAATCTAGAATATAAAACAATTACTCTTTTCTTTGCCAACTTTAGAAATTTTAGTCTTTTTGTGATTTTGAAGTTTTGAGGGTGTGTTTCGCAATTTTGAAAACTTTGATAATATCTTTTGAAATTTTTAAATTTTAAGTTAGATGGCTGTAATCTCCATGTTTTTTGTATTGGTGGTAAGTTTTTAAAATTTAGGATATTTCTTGCAACTCTAAAATTTTGAGGGTGTTTTTTACAATTATTAAAAGTTTTACTTTTTTTGTGCAAAATTTAAATTTTTAGTGGTTTGCTAATACTTTCCAGATTTGATGTACTGCTTATAAGTTTTGAAAATTTAGGATTTTTTATGATTTTTAACTTTTGAGGGAGTTTTTACAATTTTTATAACTTTGATGTTATTGTTTGCAAATTTTAAATTTTCAAGTGCTTGATGGTAACCCCTTGAATTCATCTATGTTGTTTGTAAGTTTTGAAATTTTAGAATTTCAGCATGCTTTTTGTGATTTGACCTAGTGGGGTTGTTTCTGCAATTTTTAAAATATTAAGGGTGTTAATTACAAATTTTAAATTCTGCTATGGGCTATTGTTAATTTCTAGATTCCATGTATTTTATTAATCTTATTTTTTTAAAAAAATTATTTAGCTATAGATAATTCACGTGACATTAGTATAAGATGTAATTAGAATTAGGACCAATTAAGATTTAAATAAAGTATTCAAAATACTAAAGAGTAATATTGATCATGAAAAGCTTTTTCTGAACTCATACATTTATATATAAAAAAAACCTTATAATATATATACACACACTTATATGTGTGTGTACCCACACATATATACGCTCATGTTTCTCTTTTGGAACGCTTTCCTTGAAAGCTTTTGTAGAGTATCTTCCTTAATTTTTTTAATGTATGGTAATTCTATATCGTTAATTTGTTCAATAATCAGTTAAAGTAGTGGATAGAAAATGGATAAATTTGTCAACGGATATTTTAAATCATTTTTTAAATTTTAATTCGAAGAAAACCGAGTTCAAGTTTATCTAAAAAGAAATGAATCAACTTTAAGTGAACCCGGTATCCCACGTTGCAACTCTTTTTAGGGGCTGTTTGGTTCGCTATTATAAGGGGTGGAAAACTCAGAAAACCCCTCCACGTCAGTTTTTTTGTTTCCGTCCATTTCTTTGTGCCGCTTTGGTTCGCTCGAATGGAAGAGGGAAAACTCTGCTGAAATCGCCGCCAACTAAGATTTTTTTCCCTCTCTGATTTCCTTCCCCAACCAAGTGAAATTGATGAAAACTCTGTCACGTCAGATTTTTTTTCCTTCTCTGCTTTGTTTACAAAAGTTTTTCTTTTTTTTTCTATGCGAACCAAACACAAGAAAAATAAATACATTGGTTTCCCACCATTTTTTATGTGCGAACCAAAACAAAACAATCTATTTCTTGGAAAAGTTTGGAAAACTCAAAACTTGTGTTTCTTTACATGGAATTGCATTTCTCTATATCAAGGAAACGAACCAAACAGCCCCTTAGTGTATGGCAGTAATAGTATAGCAATATTTAATATGGTAGATCACAAGTGAAACTCTCATCAGGTGTATATCTTTTTAGTGTAGGACAGTATTGCAATATTTAATATGGTAGATCACAAGTGAAACTCATCAGGTGTATATCTTTTTAGATGTATGAGAGGCTAAGGCCACACAAGTGCAACTTCTGCGTTATATTAGGTAAGAAGCTTGATTTTCAGTAAAACATGAAAACTTCAACCACTACCACATAAATGATCTATTGCAACAGTTAAGGCGCAACGGTTTTAACTATTGCGTTAGAGATCTATCGTAACAGTTTTCAGTGTCTAATACAACATTTAATAGAAAACCGTTGCCATAGACCTAATAATTGTTCTGGGCTTAATAATTATTAGTGGCCTTTGACCTTTAGTAAAGCCCATGTTTGACCGCACCGCTTAAACCCCACCGCTTAAAGGAAATCTCTCTCTCTCAAATCCCTAAAATCGCCGCCGCCATGGCCAAAAAATTCCGTCGCTGAATTCGTCTCTCTCTCTCAAAAATTCCGCCATGGCCTAAAATCGGCGATCTCATCGATCACTGAATTCGTCGCTGTGTTCATCGTGGATCTCATCTCCTATCTCCTCTCTGATATCATCTTCGAGCCCAGTCCTCGCCGGAAATCGAGCCCAGTCCTCGCCGGAGATTTCTAGGGTTTCAGCTGGTACTCGGTCAGATTTCTCTTCCACTCCGAACTCTTAGATTCAACCTTCTCGTTTCCCTTTTTGCATCTTATTTATCTGTAAATTTTTGACGATTGAACATATTTTTATTTGAATTTTCATGTTGTGTATACTTTAGATTCAGCTCCGTGCTATTCAATTCTGTAAATGTGACTGTAGACATAGAGGGGGCGACCACCATTGCCAATACCGATCGATCTTTCGTATGTGTGACTCTTGATTGGTGGCCTGCAGAAAAGTGCAACTAAGGGATGTGCCCTTGGCATCAATCCTCTGTTTTGAACTTGGTAATGCTTTGAAGCTTTGATATGCAATTTATCTGATCTCGTTTTTTATTGTTTTTTTTTCTATTTTATATATTGTCAGTGTACTATGAATGCATATTAGAAGAGTATAATGATTTTACCAGGTTAAGAAAGATTTGGTGAGAGTCTGGAAGAACCATAAGATAAATGCAACTATTTCATATCTTAGTTTTAATTTGTTTGAATTTTAAAGTAATATGACCCTTTTAACTTAAAAGGATGTATATGTTTGGTGAAGTTTCTGTGATATCTGATACACCAATTAGAATTTTAAATGAACTTAGTAGTTTTCTGGGTACCCTTGGAAGAAATCCAAGACGAACACCACTAGATAAGAATTGGCACGACATTGGGAAAGAAGACAAAGATAGTTTATACAGTAAGTATGAAGAATTTGATGATGGAGCATGTCAACAATATTGTGAATAATGTATCTAAATAGCAAGTACATCATGATGAATAATATGTTATTTTGTCGTGTATAATTATTTATTGTTATATCATTTCAGTGGGTTTGTATCTGTGATTAGATTTGCTCTTAAGGTATTTAGATTATTTGATGATAAATGTTAGCACGTGTCTTTTCTGTACTTCCTGAATAAGACAGTAATTTGCACAATGATGTTGAGTGAGTTATTATTTCGGACATTCAAGTCTCTGACTAGCACCTATGACTTTGATTATTTCGGACACTTTTAGACTACTAAAAAATGAATTCAATAAGTTAGACCGGTGAGACATGCCATCTTAGGTCAATAATTTTGTCTTCGTGATATTAAACTGTTTAAAAGTCCCTTCCTTTCAAGGCGAGTATAATATAAATGGTGTGATTAGTCCAGATAGAGATACGATTAGGGAGTTTAGGATAACGTGAGTGTTTATTATCAGATAAAGTAGAAGGTAATTTGTCAATGAGATAATATAGCGCAGCAATCGTAACTCTTATGTTTGGTATGGACACTTTGTTAGTAACTAGCTATTGTGTTTTTGTAGCCATAATGTGAAAATAGCATCTTTTATGCTTCTTATTTATTCAAGAGCTTGAGATTGACTAGAGGATGGGAAAATCCAAACTCTAGCATTTTGAAGTCTCGTGATTTGAGAGAATTGCTAGCTCTCATATTTCTTTTTTGTAATATGGTGATCACTTGATGCTATTAAGTGGCTCAGCAGTTTTGTTAGGTGGTATCACTTCAAAACATGATAATTTATTGTCCGACGAACCCTAACACAACGTAGTTTTGAAGTGTGGTTGTAGTACTGCACCTTTAGTTAGTCCTGCACCTTGTTAAGCTTTTATGAAGGCATCATATTTCTGGGGAAGTATATGATGTTAGTTAGGTTTGTCTTTTACTGGAGTGTACTGTTTGGACTCTGAAACTATGGGAAAAGCGGAATGCATCTTGGTGCTGTGTATTAATGGTACATAGTTCATCTTCTCGGACAAAGGCTATGCAGGTTTTAGTAGGTAAAGCCCTTTTAGTGTCATGACGCTGTTGGTTCCAGCGAAAAATATGTAGAAATCAGAAAAGTTCCGAACATTATAGTGGCTTTTTTTCCTTTTCCGGTTGATATGGGTTTAAGAAGTGAGGTAAAATTTGACCAACATATAGTGAGAAAAGTATCACATTAGTGATATTTGGTTTGTAGCAGCTGAAAATTCAATTCATCATTTTGGGTCTTTTCTTTGACGTTTGTGGTAGGTAATAACCTTGTGTGTATTCTGTAGATCATGTTATTTGTTTGTCATTTGTCTGCATAACCAGTTGTCTCTTGGTTTGTTTTGGCATGGTCCTAATATCACATCCTTTCAAGCCATTTGAAATGATGTATTGAACTCATATTGATGTTAGTAGAGGATGGCGGTAACAACATTTTTTTTACCTTCGATTATGGACTTGGGTCGGTTATTATACTGGAAATTATTATATGTGGTTATATTGTTATAATGTGCTCTATTATACTGCAATGCTTGTTCACTGCCCAAGCGGCTAAATTCTACATACTGGAAGTCTTTTAGTTTCTGTTTCTGGTTTTAAACTCTAGCGTTGACGCTTGTGCACTGGTTAGCATTACTTACACGCTTCTGATAACCTCTTGCTCCGATTTCTCACTCTTTTTGTTCTGTTAATGCATTTGTGTTTGTTGGTTTGGCATATGCCTTCTCTTCTTCATGAAATTTGTTGATGCTTGAGATGTATGTATATAACAAAGAAGGTGGTGGCCACTCAACAAGAGGAGATGAAGAGACAACAAGAAGCTCAAGCTACAAGTATGATTCAAACATTTGCAGATATGTTGAGTGAAGTAACTGGACGTCCAGTTAGTCCAAGCTTTGTTCACAGGTTTAAAGCGCGTACTAAACTTCCTGAAGAGGCTGCTAGTGGTCTAGATCATGAAGAGGCAAGTACCTTTTACACTTCGACATTTCTTAGCCTTCTTAGCTCTTGAACTGGTTTCTGTAGTTTTTTCTTGACTCGTTTCAGTTACTTCTTCTTTTTCCTCGTTGCTTTCTTCTCGCTCTCCTTTGTGTTCTAGAGAGATTTCCGGTTTACCATATTGCATGATATAGTAAGTTCAGCATATTGTGGTTATTGTCTGTAATTTTGTACACATCAGCATATTGTGGTTAGATTTTACTCACGTCAAAATAACGATCTTAGTATTTGGAACTTAAAAGCATGAGAAAAAATGAGCATTCACTGATATTGCCATACTCGATCAGAGGCTTGTAGTTAAAGCTGAAAACCTGCGCTAAGCTCTTCAGGTTTGGATGTTGTATCACCAAATTCCAATCACTATAGTTCTGAACTAAGTTGAAGTTGGTGATTGTCACTTTAACCCTCCAATACTCTTTATAGTTAGTTTTCAAGTGCCAGTGTACTCGTATCGGGCACATATGTTGAGTGCACATCACGACAGGGTCTGATTCGGTATATACATGTAAATGTTTCTCTGCTTCTATCATTGGTTTATCTCTAGCTATTATATGTTCGTAACTATTATATGCATCTGACTTGAAGTTTCTATCATTATAGGCAGGCCAAGAATCCTTCAGATCCATTACAAGATCCTATTACAGAGGAGCTGCAGGCGCACTATTAGTCTATGATATCACCAGGTATTTATTTTTTTCAGAAATGTTCCCATGTCCTGCACTTCCTCTTCTCTATAGTAATTATTTATACTTACTTTTGTGTCCAATGTCAGGAGGGATACTTTTAATCATCTGGCAGGCCAACATATCACCTTCCAATTTCAGAAGTTTCATGTTTTGTAATCAAATGTTGATGTACATTGTTTGAATGTTAGTTCGGTACGATATTTTCTGAGTTGAAATGTTGGTAGTGTGGATTTAATACTTTGTAGTTTTTATACTATACTGATGTATGTTGGCACTTATCATTATGGTTGATTATGCTCAACATAATCACTTTTATATTGCGTATTAAAATTTGACTTGGCCATGTTCTTAAAAAGATTGTCCAGGTAATTGAATACTATAATTATTTTGACGTAGGAAACCAAGAACAGCTTCGATTGAGCAGTTGCAATAGCTCGATTAAAACCGTTCCGATAGCTCGATCAAAACCGCTGCGATAGCTCGATTAGCAAAGAGATGAGCTAGAAGTAAATCACAATATTTTGTCTAATTCCTGAGATTTATGGATGTGTAACTGCAGAAAGTGAAGATGCTAGGTGCCGAAGAGCTCTCAATTGGTGACCTTGAGATTTGACCTGTGAATGCATCATGGAACCCCCTGAACTCTCTGCTGACGATGCTTTCAGGTCTATTTCTGTAGTCTCGCTGTCGCTGTCCTAGTGAGTATTTGACATTGAGGAACAAGTTTTTGGAAACAAATAGAGAATATAGTCTTTGACCGAGAAGTTTCATGTTTTGTAATCAAATGTTGATGTACATTGTTTGAATGTTAGTTCGGTACGATATTTTCTGAGTTGAAATGTTGGTAGTGTGGATTTAATACTTTGTACTTTTTATACTATACTGATGTATGTTGGCACTTATCATTATGGTTGATTATGCTCAACATAATCACTTTTATATTGCGTATTAAAATTTGACTTGGCCATGTTCTTAAAAAGATTGTCTAGGTAATTGAATACTATAATTATTTTGACGTAGGAAACCAAGAACAGCTTCGATTGAGCAGTTGCAATAGCTCGATTAAAACCGTTCCGATAGCTCGATCAAAACCGCTGCGATAGCTCGATCCAAACTGTTGCGATAGCTCGATCCAAACTGTTGCGTTAGGTCTTTTAAAACTGTTGCAATAGCTCCAACTGTCGCCGTAGCTTTATCAAAACCATACTTATAGCCTACTAAAACCGTTGCGTTAGGTCTTTTAAAACTGTTGCAATAGCTCCAACTGTTGCCGTAGCTCTATGAAAACCGTCGCAATAGCTCAATCAAAACCGCTGCAATAGCTTAAAAACCGTCGCAATAGCTCAATCAAAACCATTGCAATGGCTTAAAAACCACTTACCTTTTAAAACCGTTGCGTTAGATGCAGGGGCAACGGTTCAAAAAACCGTCGCAATAGAGTTCAAAACCGTTACGGTAGAGGTAGGGCAACGGCAGCATATGAGGCGGTTTGAGAACCGTTGCACTTGCTCAAGGGCGACGGTTCCATGGCTAGCGCAACGGTTTTGAACCGTTGCGTTAGAGCAAATATGTGATAGTAAACGTTTCAAAATCATGTTAAAATTAAGGAAAGTTATACTCGCATCTTAGTTTCTCCGACATTTTAGTGTCTCCACTAGCTCTCTTCTTTCACAAAATTATACGTAGTGTGTGTGTGTGTTTTGATTGTGATTCTCTGCCCTTCAGAAAAATTACTGTCTTCTAATTAAACTTCCCTGCGTCTATCTTTTCTTCAGGCTCTTTTTTATTACCAGTCCCTGTTTATGTGCTCCTCAAATTCCATGAGTCAACTAAAAGGGGCAAAACTTTGATGTAAATTAATAGTACGTTCTTGTTAATTTTAGAATGGAGCTCATTGACACCTTTAAGTCTTTATTCATTTATTCTATTTGAATCATGCAGGCAGGTAGGCTATCTTTTAGTCTACTCTATTTTAACATTATTTTTTTTAATTTTTTGGGATTTAAAGTTGCAGGCATAAATCTACATATTCACATATGTGTAAGTAAAATCCTATCGTCAAGAGAGTAAGCTACTAAGCTTTCAAATCACTACCACATATTTGCTCTAACGCAACGGTTCAAAACCGTTGCGCTAGCCATGGAACCGTCGCCCTTGAGCAAGTGCGACGGTTCTCAAACCGCCTCATATGCTGCCGTTGCCCTACCTCTACCGTAACGGTTTTGAACTCTATTGCGACGGTTTTTTGAACCGTTGCCCCCGCATCTAACGCAACGGTTTTAAAAGGTAAGCGGTTTTTAAGCCATTGCAACGGTTTTGATTGAGCTATTGCGACGGTTTTTAAGCTATTGCAGTGGTTTTGATTGAGCTATTGCGACGGTTTTCAAGCTACTACAGCGGGTTTTTTAGATATTACAACAGTTTTAAAAGACCAAACGCAACAGTTTTAGTAGGCTAAAGCTATTGTTTTGATAGAGCTACGACAACAGTTGGAGCTATTGCAACAGTTTTAAAAGACCTAACGCAACGGTTTTAGTAGGCCATAAGTATGGTTTTGATAAAGCTACGGTGACAGTTGGAGCTATTGCAACAATTTTAAAAGACCTAACGCAACAGTTTGGATTGAGCTATCGCAACAGTTTGGATCGGGCTATCGCAACGGTTTTGATCGAGCTATCGCAACGGTTTTAATCGAGCTATTGCAACTGCTCAATCGAAGCTGTTCTTGGTTTCCTATGTCAAAATAATTATAGTATTCAATTACCTGGACAATCTTTTTAAGAACATGGCCAAGTCAAATTTTAATACACAATATAAAAGTGATTATGTTGAGCATAATCAACCATAATGATAAGTGCCAACATACATCAGTATAGTATAAAAACTACAAAGTATTAAATCCACACTACCAACATTTCAACTCAGAAAATATCGTACCGAACTAACATTCAAACAATGTACATCAACATTTGATTACAAAACATGAAACTTCTCGGTCAAAGACTATATTCTCTATTTGTTTCCAAAAACTTGTTCCTCAATGTCAAATACTCACTAGGAACCTGTCAGTATCAATCTCAATCTTGGCTTTCATCATTTCTGTACCTGTGTAAATTTCCATGAATCAGCATAATTTTTGCAATGATGATAATAAAATTGGGGAAAAAAGATGTTTGAAAAGGAAGTTAAGAGAACAATGTACATCATGCTTGTTTGTTGCCACAACCAAATCCAACCATTTTAACAAAAAAGGCTAAAGTTATCAAGAGCATCTAATCACAGCCATATTCGTCACCCTTATCCATAATCCCAACAGGGAATGAGCGAAGGGGGTCTTTTTTAAGTCACTTAAACATGATTTCGTTCCGATTGTTTCAATCGAAGAAATACTTTCCTCGTACCTGGGATAATTAGCTCAACTGAACTAACAAATTCGAGTTTCTTACTACTCCTTTGCTATTTTCTTATTTGTCATAGTATGTTCTTCAGGATCTGCCATCGCTAAATGATTACATCGGTCAAACAAATACTAATACTAGTTCTTAATCACAAAATAAACAGATAAATGAAATTTCGTTTCTATGACAATGAAGGCAAGCAAACACATCGTGGTTCATGAGTGCTAGTGTAACCATGGAGAAGCTGAATGTTATCTGCAGCTAGATAGAAAATTAAGCTGCAAACTGATAAATTTTTGGAAATAATCGAATTATTAGAGGTATTCTACAATATAGTACATGAATTTCATGCTTTCATCCCAAATATGCTAGCTTTTAAGTTCTATTTAAAAAGTTCAGATTTCTCAACTTTTCAAAAACTAGCTCATAAATTATCTGAATAAGCTAGGCTTAACCAAGCAAATAACTATTCTACCTAGAACAGCCACCACTAGCTAACATAGCTTAAAAGCTCCCAAACTTTGTCGTACTTATTGTGCATAGAGGTTTTCTGCGTCCCAGCTCTGTCCATGTTGGAACACGTCCAGCTCTGACCGTAGCTCTGAAAGGCCATGAGCGGCCAAACATTCTCCTCCTCACATGCATCGGTCTATCGGTCTCCCCAAGCCTTCTGAAACTAGAAGGCAGCCTGATATCATCAGCTGAAGAATATCTCGGTCTATCGGTCTCCCCAAGCCTTCTGAAACTAGAAGGCAGCCTGATATCATCAGCTGAAGAATATCTTATTTCAGGATGATGGTAGCATGGCTCAAGAACATCGTAGATATTTAAATCCTTAAGCTCCTGTATGATAGTAAATCAAAAAGAAATTTAGATCGAACATCAAGGTGAAACTTTTCGCTATCAGTAGTTAACCAGTTGAATTACCTGGTCAACTTTGTTTAGCTTCTCTTCGCAGGTTTCATTTACTGGGTTCCAATAACTTCCTTGACAAGCAGACTTAACTTCCTGCAATTAGCAGCATGTAAGGACTCATGCTATGATGATTTACTTCTAATTTCTTCGAATTTAAAATTCAACCCACATCGGTTTTACACAGGATTAAACTATTGATATGGTGGTCATATGCCTATGTTACCTAATAGGAATGTCACAAACCTGAAACAAATCATTTGATATAAGACCCATTCCATGTGCAAATGGCACAAAAGCATCCCCATCGAATTGCTCATCCGTGCATCCATTTCCTATCATATAGCCCTGCCTCAAATATAGGCAAAGTTAAAAAAGGAAATGGAAAAAAAACCCTCTATTCATTTGTCATAAAAGATTGACAATGAAATGTCCTGGTGGTTTACCTTGAACTTCAGTGCAAGCTTTACACTGGCGATTATTCCTGTAGACGACATGACAAATGCTTACAGAATCATGAATGTTCAGCTCTATTAGTACATGAACATCATGGCAAATGCTTGCCTCGTCAATTATGCAACATTCTCAAGAATAGGATATTGAGAGTCATGTTTTTAAAAAGATAAAAATTATGGCAAATGCTTGCCTCGTCAATTATGCAACATTCTCAAGAATCGGATATTGAGAGTCATATTTTTAAAAAGATAAAAATTTCACGCTTCAGCTCAATCAATCAATCAATCAATACTATACCAATGAAACAAAAACCTGATTGCATATTTTTGCCTTTGGAACGAGAACGTCCACTAACTTCCCAACATGATTCATCCATGGCTGTTTTAGGATTCTGAGGAGGATATAACAGATCGTTTTATAGTTTTAACTAAAAAAACCATGAGATGCAGTAAAAAAAATAGGAGAGTACTAGCCATCAATTGACAAGGGTTTCATTAAGCCTAGAAGTCCAGATAACATTTTCCTATTCTAAAACTGAATGATGGCAATGCGCAATTGAACACAAAGAAAATAGGGGGAAAAAGAACAAATACCTCTCCTTTTCCAAAAATAAGCCTAGAAGTCCAGATAACATTTTCCCCAGTCTCTTGTAAAGCAGGAAATAGGACATCCTTTTGTTTCTTCAACCAACACTGAAGTCAAGCAAGCAATCAGAAGATGTCATCTGATATGTGATGAGCAATGAAGCATATTCAGATAGCAATATTTATCATGCTTTGTACACCAAGTACATGTTATTCAAGGGCGGTGAGATCTCTAAGAACAAGACTGAGAAATCGAGGGGAGTTTGTAGAACCTGAGACATGGCGATGGATCGGGGTCGAGATCTGCGGGAAAAACTTCGAGCGGGCGGGAGAGGAATCTTGAGGGGAGGGAAATATTTGGGGGAGGAGGTGCGGGGGCGGTCGGATTTTAGGGATTTTAGGGATTTTAGGGATTTCATATTTGAGAGAGAGAGAGAGAGAGAGAGAGAGAGAGAGAGAGAGAGAGAGAGAGATTTGGTTACGGTCAGACCGGGCTTTACAAACTCAACTCCTAAACCCACTAACAAATATTAAGCCTATGAATAATTATTTGGCCTATGGCAACGTTTTTCATTAAATGTTGTATTAGTTATTGTAAATCGTTACGATAGATATCTAACGCAACAGTTAGAACCGTTACGCCTTAACCACTGCAATAGATCAATTATGTGGTAGTGAATATTGCAAGCGTTGAGAGAGTAGTTACAGTCACACCCCAGGTTCGCGAGCCCACTGGGGTGATGCAAGCCTTAGGACTCATCGAATGCAACACACTCAATCCACTACTGAAATTGACTGGTCAATATTACACTTGACTTTTAACCCATCATTTAAACGATTTAATCACTCAACCAATAGCTGATGTGAGACTAAATCTTAGGGTATCATAGCTATATCTATGAATATCATGGAAAAAAATTGCGTAACTGCAAAGTGTTAATAGATGAATGATTGCTTTATAATCATATATAAAATCTAACTATTTGTACTGATATTGACAATAATGATGCAATAATGATTTCAAAAAGCAGCAAATCCTTGGGTTAGTTTATAATTTTCATTTTCAAACTTGATTCATTGTTTCTAAAAGCTAATTGTATTAATTCTAATTATACTTAAGGAGCTATTTTCATTTTTTTATTAAACAAAAAATTATTATGTATTATAAGATGAGGGAGGCCTTTGGCCTCCCCCTCATTATCCCTCCATTCACACCCCATTATGATGGTGTAACACCCCATTAAGTGGGGGTGACTCTTGGGTACTCAACCTATTCACATTGACTATCTATAAATATACATAATAGGCCTTTGGCCTATGGAAGAGTTTCAAACACGTTATCAGCACGAAGTGTTCTTGAATCACTGAGCTATAAAAAAACACTTCCTTCCTCTTTTGCGCATTGAGATCTGGTTTGTTGCAGCGGGAGCATTCGACGGATCATCGCAAGGAGGCAGCGTTCTACGGATCTTTAGTATCGATCGTCCCTAGATCTTTGATCTAGAGGTAATTACTATAATCCGTAGAATAATATATGGCAGCTGAAAATTAAAAAAAAACAAAAAAAATCCAATCATTATGCTCAAATTTCTGATATTAGAGCCAATCTTTGCACGGGTTACATGTTTTTGTTTTTTCAGTCATTCCCAGTAACTTGAACAAGATATGGCAATGTTGAATTAAAGAGCATATGATAGTTTTTTCAGACAGAGAGATAACATACGGATCAATCTTATGATTCTAATAATTACATGGCCTAATTAAAATTGATCTTACTTTTATATAAGAGCATATGAAAGTTTGCCACTTTAAGGTTATGATCTAAAACATGGTTTCCCTGTAGTCTAACTAAAACTAATCAATTTTGAAATTGTTGGAGAGGCTAGTACATACATAGGTACCTAGTTACGTTTGGAATTTACTTCTCCACTAAAAGTATCACATGACCAAAGCAAAAGTTTTTCTAGTGGGAGACCAACATATCCATTTAAAACCAGATATTTTGGCAGAGATAGCTCTCTTCAAGTTATAGCACAGTAGATCAATGAGAGATGCATTAAGCTATAGGTGCTGATATATTTGTTGTTAAAAACCCAATATACAGAGCATGTAGGCTTTGCACTGTCGCCATCATAGTCCCATGCACACGTCTCAGAGCCTATCTACCTATCCACTTGCACACATAATTATTAAATATTTAGGTTATATCTAATTATATGCCTGAGATGTTGTGCAATTGTTATGCCTGTTGCATATATTATTATTAAATTGCGTGGATGTTTAAATAAATAATGTTGTGGTTTTTGGATCAGCCTGTTTGTCACCAAATTTAAATTCCTTGCATTTTCTTTTCCTTCTGAGAGAGAAATTGTAGTGAGGATATAATTGTAAAAAGTCAAAGACCGGTGTATTCCATTGAAGACGAAGGCATTTTTGCAAAATGCAGGGAGCCCATAGGGTTTTCCAAATTGTATTTTAATTTTATGTATTTTGTTATCTTTGGACTGTATAATCGGACTTTGGACACTTTTTATTTTTTGGTGACGGGCTGATCCACGCAACATGTTTATTGCATGAATTTTTAATTCCTTATTATTAATTCATGTCTTTCAAATGCATAGATAAAATGGCTAAAATAGCGAGCGTTGATTTCAAAGTCCTTGACGCTGCTGGCAAGAATTAGAAGTTCCACTTACGTGCCCAGGGCTTATTAGCCACAATTTCAACTCCTGCTCCACCGGCTCCGGCCACTGTTACGGGTAATGCTGTAAATAATGCTGAGGTTGCTACTACAGTGATCGTCTCTGATATAGATAAGGCGAAAGCCATTATCTACATCAGGAGACATATTGATCGGACCCTGAAGGCCGAATACCTGACTGTAGAGGACCCAAAGGAATTGTGGACTGCACTTGAGGACCGATACAAACATCAGAAAGATGTGATCCTCCCACGTGCACGTTATGAGTGGGAAAACCTCCGACTTCAGGACTTTAAGTCCGTAGCTGAGTACAACTCAGCACTTCATAATATCACCTCACGCCTGAAGTTGTGTGGTGAAGAAGTTTCGGAGGAACGCATGTTGGAGAAGACTTACAAGTACGTTTGCGTAGATCTGAGATCCGGTCCTCTCGAACACCTGCCTTTTTTGGCGTTGACGATCGCTGAGCACCAGATCTGGAAGAGTGAGTCCCCGAAGTCCCAAAGCTCCAATCTTTTCTAAGTTTCGAGTCTTGAATCCGACAGAGCTTCGCCTCCAAAATTTCCAACCCCCCAAAAAATGAACCAAGTGGCCTATTCCAAGATCTGTATCTAGCGAGCCAGAAGTCTCCTGTTGAAACAAATCTGGTGGAAAAGCAGCCGTCTACTCAGTTCACTGCTGATGACTTCGAAATGGATGATCTTCTCGACTAGATCCATGTTATCTTTATATGCATTTAAATTCTCATAGTACTTTCATCTTTAGTTCTTTACTTTCCATGTAATGCAATTTACTTTTCAATAAAGATAGTTATTTTCTTTAGATTAAAATATTGCATTCATGTTATAGATGAAGTGTGAGTGCCTTGTGGACAGTGCCTCGACGCACACAATCCTTCGCGAAAGAAGCTATTTCAATAGCTTATATGATTATGACGATCCTGTAATTACGATTTCAGGACTATCTAATATAATAGAAGGATTTGGTGAAGCAATGATATTGCTCCCAAATAAAACGAGACTAATAATAAAAGATGCATTATTCTCTCCGAAATCTAATAGAAACCTCATAAGTTTCAAGGATATTCGTTTAAACAGATATCACTTAGAAACCAATGAAATAAATGAGGATGAGTATTTGTATGTAACTCGTCAAAAAGATGGTTCAAAAACTATCTTAGAACAATTCAAGGGACTCCCGTCGGGTCTCTATCATACATATATTCAACCAGTAGAAGCTAACATGATTATGCACCAGAAGTGCCATTCTTTGCCGAAATTTAAACTTTGGCATAACAGACTGGGTCACCCAGGATCAGCAATGATGCACCGCATCATGAGCCAATCAAGTGGACACAACCTGAAGAACCTGAAGATTCTTCAGAAGAGTGATTACTCATGTCTATCTTGTTTTCAAGGTAAACTGATCACGAGACCTTCCCTTCTGAAAGTGGGATTAGAGTCTCCTAGCTTCTTGGAGAGAATACATGGCGATATTTGTGGGCCTATTCACCCCGCAAGTGGACCATTTAGGTACTTTATGGTACTTATAGATGCATCAACCAAGTGGTCTTACGTGTGCCTTTTGTCCACCCGCAACTTAGCTTTTTCAAAGCTATTGGCACAAATTATTAAGTTGCGGGCTCATTTCCCCGATAATCAAATCAAGAAATTACGTCTTGATAATGCGGGAGAATTCACTTCACAAGTCTTTCAAGACTATTGCCAAGCAACTGGCATCGAAGTTGAACATCCTG